GAATCGATGCTCTTATTGTTATGTGTAAAGCGTAAAGTAGAATAGAATAGATCCCACCTATGGCATGTATCTTCTTCTTCTAACTTCTTTATTTGATAATATAGTTATAAAATGGGTCTTCCATTCTCTTTTATTTCAAAGGAATTATCATTTGACAGTATTAAGTTATTATTCAAGTTCTTTAAGGAACATGGTATTCATATTCAAAATAAGAATATACTGGATACCAAATCTGCTTTACCTATTTTACTAGCGCAGAGTAAAAATTACAATAAAATTGATATTAAGGGTCAAATTTAAACACTACTCTATCCTGATATACCAACAGACTACAATGCATTTAATTTTCATTTCTTCATTAAAACAGTCACAATAAAAGAAACAGCGAGGTTATCTATTCCTTTTTTTTTTTTATATTCTTTTTTTCCTTTTCTACCCCTTTTTTTTTATTTTTTTTTTTTTCTTGTATATATTAATAGAGAAGAAAAAAAAAGGAACCTTTTGATTCTATTTTTATATAAAACTTTGTATTATATAATATGACAACAACAATAAATGAAGAAGACAAGTCGACGTCTAATCTTAAGACGATAACTAAGAAAACAGAAGAAGTAACTACTTTACTAGATGAACCTATTTGTAAGTATTATTTTTTTTTTAAAAAAAAAAGAAAATATATAGATATTTGTATACAAATATAAATACATATATGTATACATGTGTATGTATTTTACTCAACACATGGGGGAGAAAGATAAAGAAATAAGATCGGAGTATGTTTACGAATAAGGTGACTTTAGTAACTTTTTTTTTTTTTTTTCTTCCCGGTATTAGTTCATCCTCATACGTTAACGGCTTTAGTTGTCTTGCTGGCCTTAATGTTTTATGCAGCAACAAGATCCAATTATGAAAATACAGCAGATAATATTAAGTTAGGAATCGTTGCTGCTATTGCTTGTTTTGTCTTTATTGGCATGCTTCAATTCCCTAACGGCCCTTTTGTTCGTCCTAGTAAACCTATTTGGAGAGCTGTACTTAGTTTAAGTGTACTTTATCAACTATTCTTGGTCTTTTTATTATTTTTGGTAAGATTTATTTATTCTTTCTTTTCCTTCCTTCTCTCTTACCGCTCTCCCTTTTTTTTTTCTTTTTTTTTTAAAAAATAGAATAAAGATGATGCTCGGTATTTTATGACATTTTTTGATTCAAAGTTAGGCATTGAATTACCAGAAAGATCATATGCTGATGCTTGTGAAGTAACATGGGATAATATTAAGGTATAATGAATGACAATGTGATATACACATACACATGTATATATATCATGTAATATTAAAAGTAAAGAGGTCATTTGTTAAGAATGGTATGGATATATTCGTAGTTGCACATACATTAGGTTGGTTTGGCAAAGCTTTGATTCTTAGAGATTATTATTTTTGCTGGATTATTTCAATTGCTTTCGAATTATGCGAATATTCTTTAGAGCATCAATTAAATAATTTTGCTGAATGTTGGTGGGATCATGTAAATGAAATAGGCTTTATAATCCTATTTAAAATTGGTATATAAAATTAACTCAATTATGCTTATTTTGTAGTGGATTCTTGATGTATTAATTTGCAATTGGCTTGGTATTTATATTGGTATGAAATTCTGTCAATATTTCTCGGTCAAGGTAAATGAATGTCTACTATGTCATATATATATATATATTTTTTTTAGCCGCCTATATTTATATTCGTTTATAGCAATATTCTTGGGTTGGTTTTAGACAAATAAAGACACTTCGAGGTAAAGCAAAGCGAGCTGTGCAACAATTTATTCCAAGAGAATGGACAAGATATGAATGGAAGACGACAAGTTCACCAAAAATTATTTTGGTACAGTTCTCTTATTAATTATTGTAAGTATTAGTTTTTCTGAAGATATATATGTATATGTATATATAAAGGGAGAGGGAGAGAAAGAGAGGATGGTCATGTTATTTACTATTATTTTTAGTTCTTACAATGTGAGTTGAATTGTTTCTATCTTAAATATCTTTTATGGGTTCCTCCTGAACATCCTTTAAACACGTATCGTTTAATTCTCTTGTTTTTGTTTGCTTTACCTGGTGCAAGAGAAGCTTATCAATATATTTCAGATAGCAATACGCAACGAATGGGAGCACATGCTTGGTTATTAATCTTTAACATTATGACAGAAACATTAATTTGTTTAAAATTCTCGGAAAATGAATTTCATCAACCTGCTCCTATAGTCGTTAAAATGGGCTGGTCAATCGCGTTTGCTATCTTGTTTATTATCTTCCCTTTGTGGAGATTTGTCATTCATCCAGTGAAGAAGATTGAAGGCGAACAAATTATTAGTAAAAAGGACGTGTAACAAAAAGATTATTAAATAGTCAATTGATTATATTTGACGATCTTTTAATGATAAATGATAATAAAATAAGAATGACAAAGAAACAACAACAAAACCAAAGCTATCACCCATGTACCCATAGAATGTATTTACTCTCTTTTGTAAGGGCAAATAAAAGTTATACTTTTCAATATTAATAGAGGCTACTTTTGATTAAAGATACCGTTTAAGGTGGGTTCATAAATACCAGATACGCCTTGACTAACGCATCTAAATAATGTAAACCCATTTTCAACTGCACGAATGATATTAGTTTGTTCATGATAAGTTCCTGTAGGTCCTATTAATATATAATAGCATAAGAAAAGCGATTGCATACTATGTATGTATATATTTTATACCCCATGTCCAGCTTGGTTGAAGCATAATATCTATATTATGTGTACTAGCTTGACTAATAAAGCTTGGAAAGTTAAAATCAAAACAAATAGCGCCTCCAATTCTACCAAATTCTTCAGTATCAATATATTGAAGTACATTTGGACCAGCGGGTTGAGTTTCCTACATTATAAAAAAAATATATATATATATAAAAGGGAATGAATAAGGCTTGTATTATTTATACATAGTACAGTATATATTAGTATATATGTATACACATGTATTTACAATTCCAGGTACAGGATGCGCTTTATTGAAATCAAAGCCAATTTCACCTTGTTTTGTAATGAAAACCAACTTGTTTTGATTTACTGTACCATAGCTAATACCCAAGTAGATTTGATAAGTTCGTGCTAAATCTTTTGCCTTTCCAATAAGTATTTTCTCTTCTTCTAAATCATTGACGAATGCTGTTAATTCAGACCATAAAACAAGTTTTGCACCAGACTACATATACATATATTATATGAAAAACAACACATATTATATTATGATTTACGACATTACCTCTGCCAGCTCTCTTGTCATATTTAGCCATATATCTTGCTGTGTTTGTAATTGAGGAGAATCAGAACCACCGGGACCTACGACACAACCCACTTGTTCTGTCTTTGGAACATAATCAGGATAATTCACTTGATAAAATGAATTAGAATGAATATTAACACGAGCACCACCATAGACTAGGATAAGAGCCATCAGGATACTAGATAAAACAGCCAAACGACGCCGTCCTGATGAAGGAATAGTCTCTTCTTCTTCTTCTTCCTCTTGGTCTTCATTCTTTTCTTCTTTTGTTGGAAATATGAATTCAACCAAGATTGTTCCAAATAAAACCATTAAAAAATCTAAAAGAGATCGACCTCCAATGGAAGCAATTTGACCAAACTCGGGCCAGATGACTAAACTAGTAGATAATGAAATAAAATCGCCCAAGGGCCCATAACGTGTCATGAGACACCAAATAGAGGTCCATAAACAAGGAAAGAATACAATACGTATAAGGTGTGCTCTTTTATGTCCTTGATATCTTTGAATAGTAAATTTTTCAGCAAACAGGGCAACTACCAAGAGTAAATGAATAGCAAAGGAGCACACTATGAAATATATATATAGATAGATGGTTTATTATTATTACTAATAACACCTATATATCCTGCTTTATAAAAAGTACATACAAATAACTACCCAAAATAAAGGGAATCGGGGCCCCTTATCATTAATTGAAACAGTATTAAAGTTGCCTAAATAACCAAGACTAAATCCAATACTACTGACAAGGTAAGTAAAAAAAATGGTTTGATAGTCTTGTTGATTACGATTGTAAGATAAGATGGTTGGAATATATAACCAAGTAAATAAAGGAATAGTTTGATAACCAAATCCAAATGTACTTTTTTTTTTATATATTATAAAGAAGAGAGAGAGAGTGAGAGAGATTATTAATATTATTTATATATTTAACTTCAAGTAATAATAACTATACGTGGTGATGAATAAAGGTAGAAGAAGCCAATGCTTAGTTAATATTGATTGAATACGCTCCTTTATGTCCATGTGAATTTACTTGAAACGAAAATAAAAAGGAAATATGTATACAATCTTTTTTTTTTTTTTTTTTAAGAAATAATTTGTTGTATTCCCTTAGAAAAATGATCACAATTAGTTGAGATACATTTCTTGAGCTAAATGCTCCTATTACTAGATTTTCATCAAAATTGAAACCCCTTTAAATCGAATGAAACATCGAGCCTTGAATAGTAATATAGTAGTTTGTTAAAGTCGTCTAAAGCCTGCTAAACTCTTACAATAGTTTCCACTAGCATGTTTTATTCTAACAACCTTCAGCAATATATTGAATTGCATAATTGCATACTTGGGTTAAGATATGTTTAATACAATTGAAAATCTCTTTTACAGACTGATTATCATCACTTGTTTTATAATGAGTATTCAACCTTCTTGATATTATTCATCTTGAAGCAGGAATGATACTCATTTGAATAGCTTGACGTCATACCCCCACAAAGTAGCGGTTATTCAAATAGCCCACCCCTCCTACTTTAAAACCAAAAATTATTGTCTACAAAAAAAAAAATATAGAAATATACATATTTGATTATCTTTAATTATAATAAGCACCCAACTCAATCGCTTTCAGATCAAATCCTCTAATTTATTTATTTTTCCCTTGGAAAAAAAAAAAAAAAAAAGTAAATAGCCCCTCTGTTTTTTTTTGATTTTATTATATAATTAGTAGTATTGAAAAGTGGTAAATGAAGATAATGAAGATCTTATTCTATAAAGCTATTAACTAATAAATAAATAGTAACTTATTTATTTATTATAAAATTACGACATGTTGAGAGCATCCAAGTTATATAATAATGGAGCTGTTCGTTCGGGGTTAAAAATCAGTCATAATCAACGTCTTGGAGTTAAGGTATTTAAGGTGAAAAAAAAAAAAAAGCATACCATTTCCTCCATGATCGTTATTATTAATTTTTTTTTATTTTTTCCTGTCATTAGCATTGTGAAAGCACATTGGCAGAGGAACCAAAAAAGCCTTCTAGATCTCTATTTACAAAGTTTCTCGGTTTAACATTTGTTTTAGGAGCCTCTTATGGAGGAGCAGCGTATTATGCTTTACATGAACCAGCTTTCCATAAACATTTCAGACATTATGTACCTGGCGGAGAACAGACATTACGATTCCTGGAAGATCTTCAAAACAACAACGATACTTTTCTTCAAAAAGCAACCAACTTAAAGGAACAAGCCAAATCATACAGTACAAAGATTCAGCAATCATCTCAGGATGCAATGGATTACGCAGCTGAAGCTTACCAAACCCTAACAGGTCCTAAATTACCTGATAACAACAAAATTCAGACATTTACAAAAAAAGAACAAGATGTATCAATCTCGGTTCCTGTCACTCCTAAGCCAACTACAAATAGTACACTTCAACTATCAACAGATAAAGCGGCTCAACCTGCTATTGTGAATGTAGCTATCGAGAAGCCTGAACCTATTATTGTCAAACAAGTTGCATCAGATAATCCATATGTTCGTGAACTTTCTCAACTTGTGACCGAACTTGCTACTATTTTGAATGAGACAGGCCTTTCTGGATTAGGTCGCACTATTATTCGAGATGCTGAAGAGGCACTCGAGAAATTGAATGATCGAATTCAAACTCTCAATAACGACCAAACTGCAATCCTTCAATCTCTTCAATCTCTTCGTTCTCAAGGCGATAAGCTCGAAGGGTCACTTGAGCGATTTCATATACAAGCCAAACAAGACCTTGAACTGACTCAGATAGAATCAGCTGCCAAGATTGTAGCCCGTGAAGCTCAATTGAAGAACGCATTTGAACAGACACGTGCAGAAATGGAAACTTCTTTTGCTCAACAGTTGGCGGCTGATTTAGAGCCCAACAGAAGCAGTTAGAGCGCAATCGACAAGAGGCTCTTAAGCAACAAAGTGAGGAATTACAACGCCGATTTGTTAAAGAGGTCAAGTTATTGGTTGAGCAAGAAAGAGCAGGTCGACTGGCTAAGCTGGACGTGATTGATAAACGATTCAAGGCACTAGAAAAATATGCTCTTCAAAATGCTCAACAATTGGATGCATCACGTCAACGCCACGTCATTCATGTCGCCTTAGATGCTCTTTGGAATATACTGGAGCAATCACCTCATCAGCAATCTTTTAATGATGAATTACAAGCTTTAAACCATAATACAAAGGAAGATGCTCTTATTCAGACCGTTTTAAGTGTTGTTCCTGATTCTATCGCCAAGGAAGGTGTTAACACCATAAGTGAACTCTTTCATCGTTTTGAAATTGTTTCTAATGAAATTCGTCGAGTAGCGCTTGTGCCTGAAGATGGCGGATTTGGATCACATATTATCAGTTGGGTCATGTCCTTTTTGATGTTTAAGAAGGAAGGCTTGGTAGAAGGGGATGATATAGAATCGATTTTGGCACGTACAAATTATTATTTGAAGAGGGATAATTTGGATTATGCTACGCGAGAAATGAATCAATTGACTGGCTGGCCAAAAGATTAGCCCAAGACTGGATTCAATCAGCTAGACGTCATTTGGAAGTGAAACAAGCATTAGAGGTAAAAAAAATAAAATAAAAATTATAGTAAAAGGCATTATGTTTTTATGCTCATGGGTTTTTGATTTTTTTTTTTTAGGTTGCGGAAACAGAGGCTGTTTTATTAAGCCTTTTAGAAGCTTGAAGACTTTATGATAAAAATCCCATCCCCCCTCCATATACAGACTTTGTTCATAAATAAAAAAAAAAGGAGATTAACAAAAAGAAAGTTATATTATGTAATCGTGATGCCTTTTTTTTCCCGCATTTTTCACTATTTTATTGGACGGTTGTTGAAGTATGATATAAGATTTATATAAGTTACTAAACATAAAGCAAAAGAAAAAGAAAAAAAAACTAAATCTATCAGTTTATTTTATTTTATTTTTCTTTTCTATATTCTAATTCTTCTCTGAATATACAATGGTTAATTCATCTATACAGAAAATCAAACAAGGCATTGATGAGCGTATGAAAGGTGGTGTTACGATCATCTATTAGGGGCCTCAGGTGATTTAGCGAAAAGAAGACATTTCCAGCTCTTTATGCTCTCTTCAATACCCACTTTATGCCTGAAAAGCTTCATATTGTCGGATATGCACGTACTAAAATGAGTCGTAAAGAATTTCATGAACGCATTAGTACCTCTTTGAAAAACGATGAGCACGAAGGTAATGAAAATATTAGTCAATTTTTGGATATCTGTCATTATGTGTCAGGTCAATATGATGAAGATGACTCCTTTAAGAACTTGGACAAGTTTGTGACGGATTTAGAGGAGAAAGCAGAGATGAAGAAGGAACAGAGAAATCGTATCTTTTATATGGCCTTGCCACCTGGTGTCTTTGTCGCAGTGCTACTGGCTTAGAAAGTTTGTATCATCAAATAAGGATGCAATAACGTCCTTGGTTGTTGAAAAACCATTTGGTAAAGATTTGGAGTCTTCAAATTCCCTTTCTACTGAAATTGGAAAACTTTATGAACCAGAACAAGTATATCGTATTGATCATTATTTGGGGAAAGAATTGGCAAGAACTTGATGTATGTTCGTTTTGCAAATCGTATCTTTAGCTCTCTTTGGAATGCTTCTCATATTGATTCTGTACAGATTACAATGAAAGAAGCCATTAGTACTGAAGGTCGTGGTGGTTATTTTGATGAATATGGCATTATTCGTGATGTTATGCAAAATCGTAAGTAATAATAATAATAATAAATAATAAATGCATACATAAAAAAAAAAGAAAAGAAGAGAAAAGAGAAAAAAACCCCTCTTCCTAAACTAATTTAACGAAATTATATATGTATATAGACTTGTTACAATTGTTTTGTATGGTTGCTATGGAACGTCCTATTGCACGAGATGCAGAAGCCATTCGTGATGAAAAAGTAAAAGTCTTACGATGTGTAAAACCTGTTAAACTTGAAGACACTTTATTAGGTCAATATGTAAGTAACGGTAAAGTGCCCGGTTATCGAGAAGACGAGTCTGTCCCCGACGATAGTCTCACAGCCACTTTTGCTACCATGGTCCTCTGGATCGATAACGAACGTTGGGATAATGTCCCTTTTATCCTTAAAGCGGGTAAAGCAATGGACAGCGGTAAAGCAGAAATTCGTATTCAGTTTAAAAATTACCTGGAAGTTTGTTTAATGATGTCCCTCGTAACGAACTTGTCTTCAGAGTCCAACCTGGGAGGCCATGTATATGAAATTTAACAACAAGGTACCTGGATTTTCCTATGATACTATGATCACTGAACTTGATTTGACATACAAGAATCGTTATAAAAACTTGAATATACCTGAAGCTTATGAAAATATGATATTAGACGTTATGCGTGGAGATCATTCAACATTTGTACGTGACGACGAACTTAAAGCAGCATGGCGAATCTTTACACCTCTTTTACATCAAATTGAAGAGCAAAAGATAAAGCCTGAACCCTATCCATACGGAACACGTGGACCTAAAAAATTGGATGAATTTGTAAAAAGATATGGTGTTGAACGATTGGAACATGAAAACTATCAGTGGCCCTTACATCAACTTGATTAAATAGCAAAAGATTTGAAGTTCAACTCCAGAAAATAAAATAAAATAAAATAATAACCTTTTTTTTTTCTCCATTCCATTTCTTTTTTAAAAAATGTACATTAACATTGTTAATGTTAATTCATCAACTCAACTAAACAACTAAATAATTCATTATAAATTTGACTTTTTATTTTTATTTTTTTTTTTTCTTTTTAAATTTACATTTGCCATATAAATAAATATATATTTTTTCAATATATATCATATACATATATACATATTATAATCTGCTAATGGCAAACGATTGGATTACAATCTTTGACAATACACAAGAAGCAAGAGTAGTTTATGTCTCAGAAAGCATCACGGATTACACTGGTTGGGAGCCTGAAGATGTAATCGGCAGAGAAGCCTATGAACTCTTTCACCCTGGTGACCACAATAGTCTTCGTAAGGTTCATTTAGTTAATGTCTACAATGAAAAATGTCTTCCATGGTTTGCTATCGTTTTTTAAAGAAGGACGGTTCCTATATTAAGATCGAAACTATCGTTCACTACTGTCATGACGTCATTATTGGTTGTAATTTTCTGTACGATAGTGATAGTTTGGATCACAAAGCACGAGTAAACTCAGTAGATGAAATCTTTATTTGTCATCCTGATGGTTCACTTCAATTGGCGGGGGCCTGGAACAACCGTCAAGAGGATATTTCGTTATCCCTAGAAAAGGTTTGGAATAGAAAGAATCATCAAATTATTTTGAATCAGGAACGCCGGTTTTGTCTGATCTTGAATAGATTTGCGGAGGCTCTTAATATTGTTTTATGCTTCCAAGTTAGCAACTGAATTAGTGTCATTAGACCGTCAATAAGACCATTGGAACACCCCTTTTAAATTTTGTACAGGAGAATGATTTACCATCACTTTTGACTCAAACTAATTAGTACGTGAATATGATATGGTGGTTAGGCTTAGGTTTGATTGGATCATTGATAAAGAAAAGGGACTCTCGGAACCTGTAGAAGCAATTGTAAGTAGTACATCTGATGGCTTAGTGATGGTTCTTCGATTAGCACCGAGATTCTTTATGGGATAAGAATGTGATAACCCTTTATTTTTAATATCTTTATTGCATAATTGTACATATATTGTATGTTTATAGAGAAATTGTATTTATATAATCATACATAATAAATCCCCTTTTTTTCTTTTCTTTTCTTTTCTCATTCTTGTATTTAAAACGAATAAACAGATTATCAATAATGACAGATGAGGAACAAATAGAGATAGATGGAAAATCCTCAGTTGAACATCAAATAGAGCTTTATATACATGATCTCTTCAATATCTCTAAAATGACACTTGTCGAAATTCTAGAGAACCTCGACTACCTTATGCAGACACGTATCAAACGACATCACCATCATCTCAACCCAGACCTAATGGAACGTCTCATGAAGGCTCTCCTTATCAATGCAGGACATACCACCATTCACTCTGGCTTTATCCGAAAGGGGACTACATTGGGCGCCGATTTAGCCTTCTTTTTGATAGGTGACTTTATGGAACACGTAGTTGAATTTCGTGAAGCCATTCATCGTGTTTCAGCTCACGAACTACGCAATTGTTTAAAGATACATTATCGTTGTCAAAGTTATTCAACAGATATACAAAAGAGGGCTGCCGTGGTCATGATTCGTCTCTTCCAGATCCTCTTCCCGCATTTGTATGGTGGTCATGATGATTGGCGTGATTTGGTAAGGCGAGGTGAACAAGAGGCTATGAGGGAGTTACTTGAAGATGGTGGTAGTCATTCACAACAGCAGTTAGGTATGCCTAGATCATATCATTCAATTCCATCTTTAGTCTCCTCCTCTTTATTACCACCACAGGCTCTTTACTTTGACCGTTCTATTGATAAACTCATTAAAATGTATCCACAAAGCGTAAATTGCGTTGGTTTAGCAAGTGACAAAATTTCCTTTTTGCATACATATTATGGTTATAATATGTTACCATCACCTATTCAACAAAATATGTTGAAGATGTTATTTTATCAATTGACTGATTTTATGATCTTGATTTTAATTATGGCTGCTGTTATTGAAGCTGCTCAGAAGGACTTTCATAGTATGTCTGTCCTTCTCGCCGTTATTGTTTTGAATACCTTGATTGGGTTTAGTCAAGAATGGAAAGCAAGTAAGACGCTGAATACCCTAATGGATTTGTCTGTTCCAAAAGTAAGTATTACATATATTATTTATTTATTTTATTTTATTTTATTTTTAACACTATGAAAACATAATAAAGGCTTGTGTTATTCGTGATGGAAAACAAAAGACAATCTCTTCAGATGATCTGGTTCCAGGAGATATTGTTATAATAGAAGAAGGAGATGTTGTACCTGCAGATCTTCGTTTAATCAATGTTTCACAGCTTCATGTCGTTGAAAGTGTCTTGACAGGCGAAAGCTTACCTGTTGAAAAAGATGTAAATCCCATTAAAATCAAGGTAAGTCTTTTATTATATATATATATATACCTACGAATAGTATTAATAAATATTGTATTTTTACAAAATAAAATAAAATAAAATAAAATAAAATAAAATAAAAAAAAAAGACAAGATGCATCTCTATTAATGAATGTAAAGGAAATGTATTCATGTCAACTACAGTAACTCGTGGACGTGCAGTCGGTATTGTCGTACGTATTGGCGAAAATACAGAGGTAAAAATTATTTAATTTTTTTTTTAAGTTGTTAATATTGGCTTAGATTGGTAAAATTAGTACAGCTATTCAACAAGGTTTCAAACATAAAATGAAAACGCCAATTCAAAAGAAATTGGATAAGCTAGGAAAATATTTAGTTTTCCTGGCAATTGTTTTATGTATATTAGTTGTTATTATTGGTTTAGTATGGAAAAAAAGATGTTAATCAAATGCTAAATGTTGGGTTAAGGTACAAACGACTACATATATACATATATAACTATTATACTCACAATGAATTATACTTGTGGAAACCTTTTTGTAATGTATAGTTTGGCTGTGTCTGTTATCCCTGAAGGCCTAGTAGCAGTAACTACCGTCACAATGGCTATTGGTGTACGTAGAATGGCTGAAAAGTAAGAGTTTATTATTACATAAAAAGAAAAAAAAAACTAAACTTGACCATATTATTATAGTAATTGTATTGTTCGAAAATTATCTGCAGTAGAAGCATTAGGAAGTATAACAGTTATTTGTTCTGATAAGGTATATACGTATATATATATATGTATATTCATGTATAAATAAAACTATTCTGTTTTAATTTATTTATGCTAGACTGGTACATTGACTGAAGGGAAAACGGGGACATACAAGTTATGGACAGGTGATGGATTACACTACCAGTTTACGAACCCTACATCATTTAATGAAGGACATATTTTACTCTCTTCTTGCTACCGAGAAGAAGATGATTCTATTAAATCACAGGCAACTTGTGTGAAAGCTTTAATAAAGAAAACTCCCAAACGAATAATCTTCTAAAAGATGATGATGAGGAGGAGTCAGAATCAATTTAAGATATAATACAACAATGCTTGATACACAAAATATAGAAAATTTGACTTTCAATTTTAAGAAAGCTATCATGATAATTGCTCTCTGTAATAATGCTTCACTCATGTTTGATAAGGAAAATCAGGTATGGAAAGCTATGGAGATCCTACCGAAATTGCCCTTGTCGCATGCTCACAAAAGGTAGGGATAGGGAAGGATTATTGGGACCAGCAAGGATACAGTCGTATTCATGAATATGCATTTGATTCAGAACGTAAACTTATGAGTGTTGTTTATTTAAACAAAAATGAAATGATTTTGCTTTGCAAAGGTGCACCTGAAGAACTAGTGAGAAAATGCTCACACTATATTGGACCTCAAGAAGAGTTATTGATTTTAAATGATGTATCCTCCATGAATACAAGGATTGCTAAGGAAAGTTCAAGAATGGCGGGTCAGGGACTACGTGTATTGGGCCTTGGGTATAAGAAATTAACCATAAATCCAGATGGTAGTCATCCTGAATACTCTGAGACAGGCTTAACATTTGTAGGTTTAATTGGTACCATTGATCCACCAAAGAAGGGTGTTCAAGAGACAATCCAACGATTCCAGGAGGCAGGAATAAGAGTTATGATGATTACAGGTGATCATATTAAAACTGCCATAGCTATTGCAACTCAACTGGGTATTTTTCATCCTGATCAATCAAATAAGGTTGTTTATTTTTTATTTTTTTTATTAAGAATATATTAACTTTCTACTCCCCCCCTCCTCCCTTCACATATATCCTTTCTTTATATTGACTGCTATTATTGTTTAAAGAACATTGCAATTCTAGGTCAGGAACTCGATTTTCTTTCAGACGATGCTATTTTAGAGCTTGATCCATTTCCTTGTGTATTTGCACGAGTAAGTCCTGACAATAAATTAAAAATAGTAAAGGCCTTACAGCAACGTGGAGAACTAGTAGCTATGACAGGTGATGGTGTGAATGGTATAAATATATATACATATGTATATACATATATATATTCATATGGAACCCATAAAATGTATATGTAATTTCTCTCTCTCTCTTTGTATGAGTGTAGATGCACCAGCAATCAAATGCGCAGATGTAGGTATTGCTATGGGTAAAGTGGGTACAGATATCACTAAACAGGCAGCTGATATTGTTTTACTCGATGATGATTTTACTACTATTGTGAGTGCAGTAGAGGAAGGACGTCATGCATTCGATAATATACTTAAATTTATTATTTATCTTTTGAGCTGTAATGGAGCAGAAATATTTCTGATGTTAATATGTGCTATTGTTAACTTGGAGATGCCTTTAACAGTTATGATGATCTTGTATGCCAATATTATAGCAGATATTCCACCTGCCATGGCATTAGGTGTAGAGCCAAAGGAAGTTGGATTGATGAAAAGACAACCAAGAGATCCAAATCAACCTATCTTAACTAAAATCACTTGGGTCATGATAATTACACAGTCTATCTTAATAGCTATTTTAACTCTTGCTATTTATATTATTAACTTGAAATATTTAAACTATCCAATTGAAGAAGCTCAATCTACAGTAATAATTTATAAAATTGTTTCACAAAAATATTAAAACAATTATAAATGTATATAATAGGCATTTGCAGCAATAACCACATTTCACTATTGCATTCTCATTTTTATAACAGATCTATTTTACAATCCATTTTTATTAAGAATATATTTAGAATATATGGATGACTATAGCAGTTCTTGTTTCTTTTTGCTTTCATGCTGTTGGGCATTTATACTCCAGGTACAAACAAACAAACAAACAAAAAAGTTTTAATAATATAATACATGTATATATTTGAGTAACAATACTTTTTTATAGGCATTTTCTTCCTGGCTTAAATTATCATTTGTGAATGGCACATCATGGCTAATGATATTCATATGTTGTATTTTACAAATATGTATGTTGAACTACAAAAATTATTATTCGAAAATATCACGGAAAAGTTTAAAAAAATAAAATAAAAGCGTGTGTGTGTGTGTATATATATATATGTATATGCGTTATATATTATTTTACTGTTTAGTTAAACAGACTTTGATGATATTGCTGCTGCTGCTTCTGCTACTGATGATGATGATATTATTGCCATATCACTCATCCAGTGGTTCATTCTAGTTATATCCATTGATTTGCAGCTAGAGGTTTATTGATTAGTTGTGCTCGATCAGCTGGGGAAATACATCCACCATTTCGTTTAAGTGATTTTCCTAATCGATGGACACGTAGATGCCGTCTCATATTACTTTGTACACTAAACTTACGATTACAACCTTCCTCAATACATTCAAAAGGTCTTTCGCCTGTATGTGAATAGATATGAATACGTAATGAAGATGGTCGCGAAAATCCTTTAGTACAATAGGAGCAAATGTATTTATTATGCTGCTTTGGTGTTATTAATTTCGCTTTATATGTTGAAGTAGAGTGATTTAATTTGCTTTTGCTATCAGATACCTGATGCATTAATTTATGAGATTCATCAAAAGAAAAAGAAGAGGATGAAGATGATGAAGAAGAATGAGATAAAGAGAGAGAAGGTGGGTTCTGTTGTATTTGATGAAAATTTATAGTACTTGTCGAGTAGGCGCGTCTATGGTTTGTATGAGAAGTATTATTATTAATACTAACAGGATAAGGATGAGTATAATCTGAATACGAACGACTATGATAAAAGTTATTCCTAGTTGTTGAGGTTTTATTACTTGTTAAATCATCTATTTTTGGTTCAAGTGGCTTTGGTAAAAAGTGGTTTAATGATATACTATATTCCGAAGCGTGACGACGATGATTATTCATAGTTAAGGAAGACTGTCCCTTATTTTCTTTTTCTTTTTCTTTTTCTTTTTCTTTTTCTTTTTCTTTTTCTTTTTCTTTTTCTTTTTCTTTTTCTTTTTCTTTTTCTTTTCTTTTTTTTTTTTTTTCAATAAAAGAAAATGTTAAATAAGCATAATATGTATTTATAAGATATAGTATTACCATTGCTGATAGTAATACCTTCAAGCATAGATTGAATTGAAGGTAATTTTGGTAGTTGCTGTTATATTCATAAATGGAGAATATGTTGAAAAAAAAAAATAATAATAGAAAAAAAAAAAAAAAAAAAAAAAAAAAGAAAGAAATGCTGACTCCTATAAATAAATAAATGAAAAGACGATCAAATACATGATACAGTGCTCGTGGTACCAATTTGCGCGATTTTAAAACTTTTATTTTTTAAAGTTGAGTTTTATTGAATAAAAATCCAAATGAGCACAAGCATTTTATATACTAAAATTGCCCGAACCAGTTCAAAAATGCATATAGGGAAAAAAAACCTTCATGGGCTGAAGGAAAAAGGATAAAAAATAGGAAGAAGGGGAGGGAAGTCTATACATGCTGACTAAGCCAGAGAAGAAAAGGGGAGTCTAAAGACAGAGTAGGCAGGACTAAAGCATTGTAGGGAGCACCATACTGCATCATGTTAACTTTATTAGAGGAATTTTTGGATGACAATCCAATGTATTTGCCAGTAGGCCTGTGTATGAAGTGGCTTGGGTAGTCTAGAGGGAAGTCAAGTGAGAAGACACGAGATGGTGTCATCCATGTCTTGCAATATATATAATTGAGGATGGATGCGTAGGCAATGGATGCTGTGTTTCTTTGTTAGATTGTGTAATCCGCATTGACAAGATTTAGAAATACCACCAGGTAGCCAGCCCAGCCACCATCTAATGAGTCGACTATGTTCGATTGGGAGCATAGGTAACCACAGGATGAGATCCAAGGACAAAGAAGGACGGCAGATGGACACTAATTTGCTGTACCTTTGCTGGAGAGTAAGTTGAAAGTTCCTTGCAAGAAAATCATGGCAATGTCAACGAAGGGTGGAGGTGTTCAGGCTATCAAGAGGCTCAGGTAAGGCCTTAACAAGAGCTGTATTGTTAAGTTTACGCCATTGACTGGATCGTAGGGTGTTAATACAGGGTAGGAGACAGGTGAGTAGTGCATCAGTCGGGAGTGAGCATGATCGGACGATGTATTTGGCTTGCAATATGTGGCTATGCTCTTTCATAAAGGGAAGTTTCAAACCTTTTTGCGCACTTTGGAATTTCAATTTACGTAAATTTAATTGGCCAATTTGCGTTGATCTAGCAAGTCAATTCGCGTTTTTTCACATTCTCAATTCACGCAAAAACCCAAGTAGAGCTAATCGTCATGGCTGTAAGATTTGTAACTTAATTCAATAAGATAAATAATCATAATAGAATATATAATGCATCTTTATGTTAATTCTGTCTATACGCATATTTTAAGTATATTTACTCTTGTATAAAAAAATAAAAAATGAAAAAGTCTTACATCTAAAAATGTTTCTTTTTTTTTATTAATTCTCTGCTGAATATGAATTTATATAAAACAACTTTATAAGTTAAACTAAGAACAATGCAAATACGCGTAATAATTGATTTTACTAAAAGTACGTGTATTAGCTGTATACATACAAAAGACATAATGATTCTAATTAAACCGTTATTCTCTTCCATAATTACGTTATCATATAGAATTTATTATATTATTACTCATCATCTTTATTCACAAAATACATAAATACTCTCACATTATTAACCTCTATTTTGTACTAATGGATATATAACTTAACTTTTATCTCCAATAAGAGCATTATTAACAAGTCTCAATATACTTTCTTTGTCCCTTTTTTGTATTACTTCTTTTTTTTTTAATTTTTTATTTCTATTTTATCGTATTTTATCTGTAAATCACAAACACTGATTACCAATAAATGTATTTTTGCTTGCTTCTTCGTTATTTGATCAGTACAAACGGTACTTGCCTGGCTTTCCGTATATGCGATTAGTACATTGGAGAAGAGGGCAACGGGAATTGATAATATAGCAGATTTCCACTTCCTCCATTTCCTCTATTCTTTCTAGACACTTTTCGACATTAACTTTGGTATATTTTTGGCAACAAAAGATGCATGCAGCTTCTCCTTTTGTAATAGTTATCATTTTTAATGAAAGAGAAAGGGATTTCCTTTTTTTTTTTTAGACTGGTCTGTTATAGAACAAGCTCCAGACATAAGCCTAAGTAAAATTATAAACGACGAATTAAATAATGCAGGATAAACTATAAACCTGAACATATAATAAAGGTCATCATATCTTACTGTATATAACATCTTGTAAATAATATAATATTTATTGACATCTAATCATCTAAATATGTCAACTAAATAAGATATCGTGTCAGTTCTAAGCTTGATGAAGGATTCAGGTTGTCTTTGATTCAGGACTCATTAGTATAAATACAAGCAGTTGTGTAGACATAAAATCATCTTCTTTTTGTTATATTTTTCTTTACATTGAATAAACGGTCTCAAACTATATTTCTTTTTTGTTTTCTTCCTTTCTTTTTCTTCTTGTTTTTTTATTTTTTTTCTATATACACATATATGTCATACCATCACAGTAACTACTAAAAATGAGCGATTTTTTTGTTATTTATAAAATTAAAGTACGCTCAATAGACTTAACCTTTTTTGTATCTATTTTCTCGTGGTAGGTTATTTAAAGAAAGAAAAAGTAGTACCATTTTTTTTTTACCCCTTAATTATGTAACGTAAATCCTTTGTTAAGATTCTTAGATAGTTAACAAATTAAGATAATGTAGCAAAAAGAATGATGGCTATAAATTTAACTGAAGAATGAAAGAGAATACAGGATGCCTAGGAATTAGTGGCAGATTTTTTTATTTTTTGTTAATCTTTCCACACTTAAACTGTTGTCCTTTATTTTTTTTACTAAGACGGACAAAGGAAAATATGTGACCAAAGTGGAAATGATGCTATGGTTGTAGAAGAAGATGTTAACACATACCATCTGGAAACCTTAAGTAACATTAGAGGTTATTGCGAATCACAGGGACCAGAACAAGAGTCGCTTATTAAAGGTCTAGATACTTGAATGGAAGATATGACAAATCTTGTAGGAACAGTAAATAAGTAGCAACCGTCTTATAATGACTATAGCAGTGAACAGAAGCTTCTTTTTCTATATTATAACTCAGTGAAGCTTTACAACGTTGCGAAATTTCTCAAAATAGCAGGTGTAATTGCCAGACAGACAGCACAAAAGTGGGCGGAGGGATAAATATTGGAATATTCTTGAAAAAAAAACAAGCAAAGTGAGTAGGAAAGCAAGTCAATTTCAAAAAGGGCGTAAAATTCACTTGATCAACTTTTATAATGAGCATCCTTAAGCATGAAGTAAGTGCTGCAGTTGCGACTCTTGATTGAGAAATTTTCGAATTTCTCACTAAAGACTTCCAACATTTAAGTCGTCTTGAATAATGAGTGCAATTTTTCTTTCAAAAGAATAGCCTGTCGTTTTGAAGTGAGAAATATTGAATTAAAACTCGCGAATAGAAAGAATCATAAGTTTAAGAAATGAGTAAAACGGATATGAGCTTTCTTGAGAACTGTACTTTTATAGGTGAATCAAGATTCGACATTGATGTGAAACCGCCTGAAGGTTGGTCAGAGAGGGGCACGCATGTCATAGTTACTTCTCCCTCTACCAGAGCAATGCTGCATACTATCTTGGGAGCAATCAGCGCTAAGTTTGCCATAGCTATGAAGCTCAGAAACTTCCAAATATCCAAAGGAATAAAAATTGGAGGTGCATAGAGAGATGATGTAGATGCCCTTTTTATTGCATTGATAAAAGCTATTACTTCTGTCGTAATGATAGTGCTTCACTTGTTCCATTTTACATATAGCCTTAAATAGAATGAAAAGAAAAGAGAAATAGAGAAAAGTTAATTTAAAGAAAAGCAAATGATATATATATCATCTACTATAAAATATGACTATATAATCGTTAAATATCTTAATAATAGCACTATGAATCAATAAACTTAATGGTTGGTAAAATAGCCCATTTAATAAAGTGCAAATCATTAATAAAGTCTGAGTTCATACTGTATTTAGCGATTGATAAGACAATGATGATAATTCAATAAATGCAATTGTTAATAAAGAAATAGCAGGTTCATGAAAATGAGGTTAAGTAACTACAATTTAAATCCACAGTTCTGAAAAAAAAAATTAAAGAATATAAACAAGGAAAACTAACAGAGAAGATTGTAATACAGTCAATTGTAATCCCATTGACAAAATAAAGAGGTAAAAATGCTTCTATTGTATTTATTATTGCAAAATCTGTTATTAACGGGTTTGTTCAATAAAGGATTATTATATGTTTTATATGAAAATGAAAGATAGAAGAAGAAAAAGAAAAAATAAACACACACGCCGTCTACTTGATTCTATATTAAAAAAAAACCGTCACTTATATGTAACATGATTTTGCATTAAAGCAAGCTTTTTTTTTCTTTTTTTTTTAAGTTTTTTTTTCATGTCAAATGTGAGGATAAGAACTGAGGAAATCCATATAATTTACATGCAATATATGCCTTCTCTCTTTTAAGTCTCTTATCTTTATGTTTATCAGGCAACATAAGACCGCAATATTATTAGATATTAATTTCCCGTCTTTTTTTTTTTTTTTTTTTTTATTAAATATTTGTTTCATTTTTTTTTTCTTCTTTTTCCTTCTCTTTCTTACACATTCATATTATGGCCGGTTTTATTAAATTAACTAAAGAATCAAAACAATTTGCTGATTCACTTCCTAAATTTGATATTTCATCAATAAATATCGAAACACTTCGTTCCAAACCTGATAACGAGGTACCATTGGCTATTTCTAGACCTGATGTTGATTTAGAAGATATGACTGTAATTAGCTCTTCTGGCTTAGTCAAAATTCGTGTTTATCGTCCTAGTGGTTCTCATGATAAAATCTTACCAGCTATTATCTACATGTAAGTAAATTATACACACATACACACACATATATATATATGTATATATCGAATATATTCATTCATGCTGATTTTGTTACACAGGCACGGTGGTGGTTGGTGTGTTGACCAAAAGGCTTCTTACGCTTATATTTGTTCAAAGGTATATAAAGTGAAGTGATATGCATAAAGATATATGTTATTAATTACATAAGGGATTCATTTTTAGCTTGCAGGAGAAGCAAACTGCGCTGTCATCTTTGTTCATTATTCTCTTAGTCCTGAAGCTCGTTTCCCAACTGCTGTTGAAGAATGTTATGCTGTCTTGGCTTGGGCTACAAACCCTGCTAATGTTAACTTTTTGAAGATTGATCCTACTTCTGTCTCTGTAGGTGGTGATTCCTCAGGCGCTAACTTGGCCATAGCAATCACATGTATGTTTAGTCGCCTCTCCCCTCCCCTCCCAAAAAAAAAAGGATTACTAATATATTATATATAGTGCTTGCTAAGCAACGCCAATTAGAGAACAAGATTAAACATCAATTGTTATTTTATCCCGTCACTAATACTGAATTCAACACAAGTTCATACTATGAATTCAGTAATGATTATGCATTGACGCGTGATCTTATGAAATTCTTTTGGGATCAATATGTACCAGAAAAGTCAGATCGTGAAAATATTATTGCTTGTCCTGGTAAGGCTACTGTAGAAGACTTGAAGGATTTACCTCCAGCTTTAATCATTATTGCTGAAGCCGATGTCGTAAGAGATGAAGGTGAAGATTATGGTCGCAAATTGTTGGCTGCTGGTGTCCCTGCTACTACAACTCGTGTCGTAGGAGTCCTACACGGATTTGTTAGTAAACCAAACTTATTTTCTCAAGAAACTTTATTTGCATTAGACATGGCAGCTGCTGCCCTTCGTAGAGCTTTTTATAATAAATAATATAAATACATTTATTTTTTTTTAATATTTTTTTTGTAGTCAATGTGCATGTGTAAATGTATGACATGTTCATTATTGTATTTTTTTTTTTCATTATGATTACTTTTATTTTGACAGGATATACAAATGTTGTAATTTAATTTGATTAATGTTGATTTCCACCCCGAGCACCAATGACAATATTACCACTACTGCTAGTTTTATTGTTGTTGCTACTACTATTATTATTACTACTACCACACGTCCACTGTTAGCACTGCCACCACGATTTTGTCCACGTCCACGATTACCACCTCTATTATTATAATGTCCTCTTCCACTACCACCACGTCCACCTCTATTGGCCATTTGTCTTTGTTTGCTCTCTTCTTCTTTTACCATATCAACAATCTCTTCTGGAACGTTTAAATATTTTATAGTATTGCCTCTAATATAGCATTCAGGTAATCTCCAAAATTTGTCACCATCTGGTGATGTTTGAATCACTTCACGTAAAGTCAAATTCATCCAATTATCACAGTTAACCAAGTGGCCGTTAAAGGTCTCACCACTTTTTAGTTCTACAAGCATGGGGTGACCAGCTGCTGTATGTAAGAGTGCGAGTGGAAGCATGTTGTACTAGTTGAATTATATTTATGTATTTGTGTATATTAAAAAAAAAAAAAAAAAAAAAAAAATTAAGAAACAGAAAAAAGTTTATCAAGAATATATTTATTTTTTTAAAAAAAAAAAATCTTACGTCACAATAAGACACAACATTTTATATACAAATATATTATACAAGATGTATTTATATTTTTTTTTTTATTAATTATAAATTAAAAAGGTTGCTGTTCATTTTGATTATTACTATTATATGATTGAGGACCATATATATGTATTTTGCGATAATAATGGGCTCTTCGGATTATACAATGAAGTATTATTTTCTTCTGATGAAAAGTATTGTCTAGGACTAGCTGGTTGTGATAAAGCTGATTGATAGGTGGAAGGTGATAATGAAGGGGATTTCTGTTGATAGGAAAGTACGTTTAAGTTTTTGAGTTTGTATAGTAAGTTGAGGTAAATTGTCTGTAGGATCTAATTGAGGGGAGGATAAAGGTGAATTCGATGAGCTTGTTGGAGAAGGATGATGATTAGCAGTATTTAAATAAAATTGGTGTTGTTGTTGTTGTTGATGATGTTGATTATCAGCAGAAGTGATAAAAATAGGCGGTGGGGGCCTATCTGCACCTTGTTTATCAGAATCAAATATATCTAGAGTTTGTAAAGGTACTAAAAAAAAAAAAAAAAAAGATAAAATATGGATTAAAACCTATCTGAATATTGCATATATCACGTACATGTAGATCCATATTGCTTTGTCATAAAGTCTATCATATCTTTAATCATTTGTTGTTGTAATTGTTGTTTTTTCTTTGTTTCTGACAACTCATTCATAACTTGACTTAAATTAGACTGTAAATGAGAAATTTGTTGCATCATATCTGATTGTGACATTTGCATCATTGTTAAGTGTGATGTAATGTCAGTATTATCTCTTCGAACAGAGTCTGATTCTAAAGCTTTTCGTTTAATTTCGTCTAATAAATCAGGTCTATTTCTCAAAAACTTTGGATGTGAAAATTCCCAAATCTGATTCTCTGCCAAAGTTCGATGTCCTCTGGGTGATTTATTTACTTTATGAAATCCATACCTATAATATTCATCAATAAATATGTATACATATACATCTATAATATATTCATAGTTAAAACTTACATATTTAGCTGCCTCACAAAGCTACTAAAGTTATTGTGCTTAAAATGTTTGGGTAATACATCCCTTGAGAATTCTGTAATGTTACAAACAATAAATGAAGTGCCGGTATAAGTCCAAGCAATTAAATGTTGATATTGCTTATCTACAACCATACTATATATATATAATATTTAGTATATGAAAGGGGAAAAAAAAATCAAAAATCAAAAATCAAAATTAATCTATAGTTCTTTACTTGTATAACTTATGTACAAAAGTATTTCCACCACCTGGTTTTGTTGAATTAGACTGAGAACGTGAAGGTGGTTGAAGTGACATTTGTTGTATGAATTGACTATGTAATTGATCCCAAACAGGATTATCATAAGAAGGCGATCCTGCTCCAGGTGATATTAAAGGTGAATTTAGTGGTGAACCACCTGAAGAAACCGAGCTTCCACTAAAATTTGTATTAATTCCAAGAGATGCCGCTGATGGTGTATGTCCATCATTCATGTTGTTCATAAAGAAAAAAAAAAATATGTGTGTATAAAAATATATACAAAATAGAAGAGCGATATAAAAAGATTACTGAAACTCCAAGTAGCTCATTTGACCAATCACGTGTAATATTTCCATGTATTTGTTCAGCTCCGAAGACAGCAAAAATATACTTCATTTAAACAATTTAAAAATACCTAAAATTGGGCACAAAATATGAACTATATTAAAATTGCCCGGACAGGTCATGAATGATAAAAAGATATTAAAGAAACCCTTCCCTTATAGGAGCAAGGGTAAAAAAGAAAAAAGAAGTTTAAAAGGAACAAAATGTAGTGATGGCATTATTATCAAGAGAGAGAGAGAGAGAAAGGGGGCTAATTAAGGAATTTTAGACCACCAAATAGTTATGATAGTGAAGGCGGTCTTTTTTTTTTTTTTCTGTTGTGATGGAAGAGGTAATCAAGTTTGTGAAAAATTTAACAAATAACTGATTAATAATGAACAACTTAAAGGGAAGGTATTAAAACAAGTACGCGGTTGGCATGTAAGAAGCTTATTTGCAAGAAACAAGAGAGAATCCTCGTGCTTTTACGCATTTGAAGGCAGTAGATATTATGCTACTTTGTCAAAAGCACTGTAGGATGCTTTGTGCAGTAATTTGAATAATCACCAGGCAACCATCCAAGACACCAACGAAGAACAGCATAGGAAACCAAAGGGATAATGATCTAATTATATAAACAGTCATCATTGTGTTAATAATTTTGATTTGTTAAAATGATTTATATACAGGTCTCGATTATCTTACCGACAAAATTTAATTTATTGTTCGAGTTTTTTTTTTTTTTTTTTTTTTTTTTTTTTTTTTTTTTCTGAACTGGATTAGTCGGTGATAGTTTTGATCATAGAGATCTAGTTGTAGAGTCTTACAGAAGTAGTAATAAAAGAGCATTTGGGTAAACTTAAGGAACATAACAAAAACTGAGCTTGCAGAATATGTAATCTTTCACGTATAAATGACGGATGCTCATGTCAAAAATTACGATCTGTTTCGCCTAAATAAAAATTAATAATTTCTAAAAGTAAAACCTATTGATATGTTTAATTTATTTTGGAGACAAGATGACAAATGCAAATATCATTCTCGGGCTAGTGGATAGTAGTTATTGGGGATTGTAAAAGGAGGCTAGCTGTCATTACTTTTTTTTTTTTTTGATCTACAAAATAACGAGCAGTATTTCTTTTTATGAAGATGGATAAAATAACCTTTACAATAAACATAGATAAAAAGTTTATAATTCAATAGAAGACACTTGACTTAAATGTTGCGCTATAATATTATTCTCCAAACAATAATATAATACGCAGAGAGAATTATAGAAAAGCTATATAAACACTTGAAAGATATCATCATAATAAAATCGAAGATGAATAGTAGTCGAAAAAATTGATATTGCTACTAAATATGAAGAATATATAAACGTTTAACTGATTAAGGTTTTTAATTCTTTGTTGAAGACGACATTATATAAAACGCGACTAAGAAATTTAAAAAGTTTCCTATCTCAAAATCGCTGCTTAATCACTATTTGAAAAAAAACATGCATATCACTAAATAAATAAATAAAAATAATGCTTTGTAAATTGGTGAAGTCTCTCGCCTCGAATCTTATGTATGGTAAAATTTGTAGAAGTCATTTATCAAGCTACAAATTAGGATCATTTCATACAATTGTGTTATTAGAAGAACAAACGAAAATAGTGATTGCTATTTGCTTTTAAAAAAACGAAGCAAGAAGAATAAGAGCTAAACCATTAAAGTCTAATAGAACCCACCAGTAACAAGATGTATCTGTGATAAAAGAAGGTTTAAGCCAGATCCAGCAGATAAAGTTTAATTTTATGCAAAACAAAGTTAAAAGATCAAATGACTTGAACACTATTATATCTTGTCATCTTAAATGTTACTCTTATGACTTGAATGAATAAGCTCATATTAATAAATACTATAATCCATTCTATATTTCTTTTTTCTAGACATTTAAATAAAAATATTAAATACGCTCCTGAAATTGACAAAGCAAGAAACTTGGAATCAGCGTAAATGTTTTGAAACTAGGTAGTAGTAGACTATTAAAAAAAAAGATATATTTTATATTGAGCCCTTTAGATCAAATAAGCAAATTATTGCCGTCCTTTATTATACCAAGGTTTAAAAATTTAATAAAAACTAATGATATATAGTCAATTATCAAAACTAAATCTCTCGCAAGAATACCCATGATTATTTGCGAAAATATTAGTCAATATGCTGCATATTAATAGAGACTAGTGATGCAGTAAGTACATGTTCCAATTATTTCTTCATCAAAAATATCTTCCAGTTGTATTAATAAATAACAGAAACACTAAAGTTTTCTCACTATTAGGCTTATATAAAAGTAAAGTCACTAATCCAAAGAAGTATAACTGAATGAAAAGAATTGTTCAAGTGATGTTCTGAATCTGAATAATATCAGTTCTAACGATGATTTTATGCAACGTTATACATTCATTAAAGTAGCTTATCTTGTACTTCCAAACTAAACTATAATGAACAATGTTACTCTGTACAGCCAGTACGATAGATATTGTCGCCAATTAACAAATATTTGTCGGCAGTTGAGAAACAATTGTCGTAGTATTTTCCTCTTCCTGAGCTCTTATTTTTGTTTAATACTGTGATATTTCTTCTAAAATATCAAATAAAAAATATTAGAAAATAAAAAATAATATTAAGACAAAAGAAATCAATAAGTTCGAATAATAGTTCTAAAGTCAATGATTTTATTTAATGAATTTAAATTGATAGGGTATTTATAAGAATTGTTAAAGAGGTCTGAGGATAAGATGTGAATCAGAAAAGTGATAGTTACGACCGAATAAGGTATTTTGTTGACAATGAAGTGTTAGTGATTTTAATATTATTAGATGGAGCGATCAAGAGAGATTCAGGATAGAATTTCTTAAATAAATTTATGATCCGCATGTTTAATCATGAAACATGATATTATAAGTCAGCTCATGACACCTCCCTTATATTTATATATATTTACCGTAGATATGTATATTATGTATCTTGGTATCATTATGGCCCTTAAGCTATAGAAGAAAAATAGGGTGTCTAAAAAGCCTTATTTTATGCCTATACAGATACAAATCTATAGTTGTTATGTTTGATCTTAATTACAAGTAAGCGTAATATACAGACTCTTTTAATTGATTAACATCAAGCTTCTCTAGCTAATACTATACATTATGTTATGGCTTACTTAGGAACAAAGACTATAAAAAAAAAGCTCTACCAAGAATATTGTAATAACAATCAATATCTATCTATAAACTAGTGTAAAGAAGAATGTTCTCGAT